TAACAGAATATCAGTTTGTTTCCTGTAAATGTATATAACTATAATTTGTCAATATAGAATTTTTTTTAAAAAATCATATTCCAGTTCTTGTTATCATGGAGGCCCCATTATGGTGGCATTGCTCCCATCATTAGCATTGGTGATCAACTGAACCTTCATTCCCTCTGCCCTCCTGAGAGGACAGAGGCTTAGTCTAACCAAGCCTCAGTCTTTCCAGTGACCACCCTCTGAGCCTTAGTTCCAGTGACCGCTCTCCATCCTGAAGCTACCTAGGTGCTCCAGCCACCAATTATCCCATTAATGTACAAAAAGACACTTATCACTCCACAGATTTCAAGAGACCTCTTATGTCAGGAGAGGGGGATGAAGACCAAATCTGTATGTCACATTGTCACAATCTGGATCTGTCAGCTCACCCACTTCAATTTAACCTATTCTCACAGTTTTCTCCTCTTCTCCTTTTATGTGAAGTTTTGAACTCTCCCCTTAGCCACTTGGTGAAATGTGTTTTTCATTTTAGGTACGGTTGACATTTAGGGATGTGGCCATAGAATTCTCTCAGGAGGAGTGGAAATGCCTGGACCCTGCTCAGAGGACTCTATACAGGGACGTGATGTTGGAGAACTACTGGAACCTGGTTTCTCTGGGTGAGGATGACTTTCTTCCAGAAGTCAAGATCTGTTCTTGTCTATTGCTGCATTTTCCCTTATGAGTCCCTGGAGACCCCCTGCATTGCTTGACTGAGATTGAAGTCCTGTTGACTCTGAAATGGAAAGCTTCATCATGGGAAACCTGGACTTTAATCTTCCCCTTTTTCAGATGTTCTGCCTCCTTTGTGCTTCATCATTTGAGATTTCCGAGCTTCTGTATGCATGATACATTGTGTTAGACTTTTGAAACGTCAGATTTGCTGTTTTCTACCTCTCTGCTTTGGATTAAGTCGTTAGTGGAATAGAGTCTTCTATCTGCATGTTACCGTGTTTCCTGCATATTCAGAAGGAGGCATTCAGTGGATGACTTTTTTTTTTTTTTTTTTGTGGCAGAGTCTTGTTCTGTCGCCCAGGCTGGAGTGCAGTGGTATGATCTCGGCTCACTGCAAGCTCTGCCTCCCAGGTTCACGCCATTCTCCTGCCTCAGCCTCCCGAGTAGCTGGGACTACAGGCGCCGGCCGCCTCGCCCGGCTAATTTTTTGCATTTTTAGTAGAGACGGGGTTTCACCGTGTTAGCCAGGATGGTCTCGATCTCCTGACCTCGTGATCCGCCCGCCTCGACCTCCCAAAGTGCTGGGATTACAGGCGTGAGCCACCACGCCCGGCCCAGTGGATGAATTTTTGAAGTTTTCTTAGATGCACCTGTAATGTCCTCTCATGTAAACATAGGGCTGGGATTCTGACAAAGCCCCAGCACATTGTGATCCTTTCTTTTTATAAACAGGACTGTGTCATTTTGATATGAATATTATCTCCATGTTGGAGGAAGGGAAAGAGCCCTGGACTGTGAAGAACTGTGTGAAAATAGCAAGAAAACCAAGACTGCGGGAATGTGTCGAAGGTGTGATCACAGGTGAGAGCTCGGATGGGCAGAGAGAAGGCCACTCCTTAGAGTGTGGGAGGCTGGGCACAGTTGCTCATGCCTGTAATCTCAACACTTTGGGAAGCCAAGGCGGGCAGATCACTTGAGGTCAGGAGTTCAAGACCAGCCTGACCAATATTGTGAAACCCCGTCTCTACTAAAAATACAAAAAAATTAGCTGGGTGTGGTGGCGCATGCCTGTAGTCCCAGCTACTCAGGAGGCTGAGGCAAGAGAATTGCTTGAACCCGGGAGGCAGAGGTTGCAGTGAGTCAAGATCATGCTACTGCACTACAGCCTGGGTGGCAGAACGGAACTCCGTCTCAAAATACATAAATAAAAAAGTGTGGGAAACTCTGCAAACGAGACAGTTCTTTGGGGAAATCAGTTGCCTCAGAGACAGAGGCAAAGTTTTTATCATGATGGACAACACCCTGTCATTTGAACTCTGTGGTTCCTTTTGAAGAGACTGCTTGCTTTCTTGGTCTCTCCCTCTGTATTGAATTCCATATGGTGCTCAGTTCTTAGTCCATATGGGTCAGAGGTGACGCCTCCATAGTGATTAGTCCTAACATTTAGACTTATTTATGTTCCACCCCATTTCCTGTGCGTGGAAGACTTGACATTGGCTGCTGCTCCTTGGCATCTGCTGCCCCGAACCTCATGGAAGAGACTCCAGCCGTCTCTGCCTGTTGAGTTCCCTCAGCCATTTCTTCCATTCTGCTTTTGCCGTTCTTCATGGGGGTGTGTGATAAGCGAGTGGGTTCTATCTTCTGAGATTGTTCTCAGCATAACTGTAAAGACACCTGACAAAATCATTCTCTCATTGATTCTTAGTCTTACATGGGGTGCATATTCTGTTTTTCCAGGCTTTAGCACAGAAGTGCATGTACTACATGTCCTCACTTGTATTTGGAATCTAAACCAATAAAACTAATAGCAGCAAAGAGTAGAGTGTGGGTTACCACAGGTTGAGGACTGGAGGGAATAGGGAGATGTCGGTCACTGGGTGAAAACATTAGGGGTAAATGATAGGTTTTTGAGATGACTTATATGGTAATAAGCTTGTTTCCCATCAGTCCACATTGTATACCTATAACAGAATATCAGTTTGTTTCCTGTAAATGTATATAACTATAATTTGTCAATATAGAATTTTTTTTAAAAAATCATATTCCAGTTCTTGTTATCTGTGCTGGTTCTGAAATAAAAATCTTTCTTTTTCTTAAGAGAAAATTGTTTATTATCCCACAGACAATAATTTTTTTTTTTTTTTTGGAGACAAAGTTTCACTCTTGTTGCCCAGGCTAGAGTGCAATGGTGGGATGTCAGCTCACCACAACCTCTGCCTTCTGGATTCAAGAGATTCTCCTGCTTCAGCCTCCCGAGTAGCTGGGATTACAGGCATGTGCCACCATGCCTGGTTAATTTTGTATTTTTAGTAGAGATGGGGTTTCTCCACGTTGGTCAGGCTGGTCTTGAAGTCCCGACCTCAGGTGATCCACCTGCTGCAGCCTCCCAAAGTGCTGGGATTACAGGCGTGAGCTACCGCGCCTGGCCAATAATTTTTTTTTTTTTTAAGTTTCCACACGTGGCCTTAAACAAGAACATTTTATATATGCAGTTACTCCTCTCAATTAATTTTATCATGGGCTGCTAGAATATCTTATTAGTTGATTTTAATAAAATTAACACATTATGGTTTTCAGCATGTATTATGAAATGTAACTGTCAGGCTAGGCGCGGAGGCTCATGCCTGTAATCCCAGCACTTTGGGAGGCCGAGGCAGGCAGATAGTGAGGTCAGGAGTTCAAGACCAGCCTGACCAACATGGTGAAATCCCGTCTCTACTAAAAATACAAAAATTATCCAGGTGTAATGGCACACGCCTGCAGTCCCAGCTATTTGGGAGGCTGAGGCAGGAGAGTCGCTTGAACCCTGGAGGCGGGGGTTGCAGTGAGCCGAGATCGTGCCACTACACTCCAGCCTGGGGAACAGAGCAAGACTTTGTCTAAAAAAAAACAAAAAAAAACCAAAGAAATATAACTGTCATGTACCACTTACTAATGTTGCAAAATGCCTGCTCTGTGTGGATATAGTTATATAATAGGTATTTCAAGACATTTTTTTCTGACATAGTTTTATTGAATATTCATTTTCCTAGTGCTGTTACGGTTTTGCAGTTCAGAATTCCTGCTTCTTAATTATGTTTCCTGTGAGCCATTATAATATATTATGTTGTACTTTAACATATATCTGTACATAATGAGTATGCTTTAAATGTGTATAACTTATTTTTCTTCAACTGAGATAGCCATATGTTTTTGGCCAATTGGTTTGTGCTGTGAGGTCATGGTGGAGAAATAATCCTTTGATGGCTAACATAGGATTGCATAATGTGAGTATTTTGGTCATAGGTAGTTTGAAGCTAGGCTACCCCAATTTATTTTTTTATTTTTTAAGACATCTTAGTGGCTCTAAGGCTGTAGTGCAGTGGTACAATCATAGCTCACTGTAACCTTGAACTCTTGGGCTAAGACAATCCTCATGCCTCAGCCTTTTTTTTTTTTTTTTTGATGAGACGGAGTTTTGGTCTTATTGCCCAGGCTGGAGTGCAATGGTGCAATCTCAGCTCACCGCAACCTCCACCTCCTGAGTTCAAGCAGTTCTCCTCCTCAGCTTCCCAAGTTGCTGAGATTACAGGTGCCCACTACCATGCCCAGCCAATTGTTTATATTTTTAGCAGAGACAGAGTTTTGCCATGTTGACCAGGCTAGTCTCGAACTCCTGACCTAAGGTGATCCACTTGCTTCGGCCTCCCAAAGTGTTGGGATTACAAGCATGAGCCACTGTGCCCGGCAGCCTCGGCCTCTTGAGTATCCAGAACTTCAGGCACATACCAGCATGCCATACTGATTTTTTTCTTTTTTTTGACGGAGTCTCGCTTTGTCACCCCTGTTGGAGTGTAGTGGCACAATCTCGGCTCACTGCAACCTCCACCTCCCAGGTTCAAGCGATTCTGCCTCAGCCTCCTGAGAAGCTGAGACTACAGGTGCATGCTACCACGCCTGACTGATTCTTGTATTTTTAGTAGAGATGAGGTTTCACTATGTTTGCCAAGCTGGTCTCAATCTCCTGATCTCATGATCCACCCTCCTCAGCCTCCCAAAGTGCTGGGATTACAGGCATGAGTCACCGCGCCTGGCCTAATTTTTAAATTATTTTGTTTTTGTAGAGATGGGGTCTCGCTATGTTGCCCAGGCTGGTCTCAAACTCGTGGCCTCCTGTGATCCTCCCACCTTAGACTCCGAAAGCATTGGGATTACAGGCATGAGCCACAACACCCAGCCCTTCCCAAATATTTGAATTACATGTAACTGCATTTTCTTTGTTAAAAAATACTACTTTTGGCGGGGGGTGGTGACTCATGCCTGTAATTCCATCACTTTGGGAGGCCGAGGCAGGTGGCTCACGAGGTCAGGAGATCGAGACCATCCTGGCTAACATGGTGAAACCCTGTCTCTACTAAAAGTACAAAAACAAAACTAGCCGGGTATGGTGGTGGGCGCCTGTAGTCCCAGCTACTCAGGAGGCTGAGGCGGGAGAATGGCGTGAACCCGGGAGGCAGAGGCTTGCAGTGAGCCAAGATCGCACCACTGCACTCCAGCCTGGGTGACAGAGCGAGACTCTGTCTCAAAAAAAAAAAAACAACTACATTTTTGTTCCTAAAAATTGAAATTCACGGTTCTGAAGTTCCGAAGTCTGTTCAATATAAGTATTACTTTTGGTGGAATATGTTTTCAATGTAAAATACTTATTTACTGTAATTAATTGGAAATGTGTGGTTCTTTATGTCTTATAGATATCCCTCCTAAATGTACAACCAAGGATTTGCTACCAAAAGAGAAGAGCAGTACAGAAGCAGTATTCCACACAGTGATGTTGGAAAGACACGAAAGCCCTGACATTGAAGACTTTTCCTTCAAGGAACTTCAGAAAAATATGCATGACTTTGAGTGTCAATGGAGAGATGACACAGGAAATTACAAGGGAGTGCTTATGACCCAGAAAGAACGTAAAAGAGATCAGCGCGACAGAAGAGACTTAGAAAACAAGCTTATTAACAATCAGCTGGGAGTAAACTTTCATTCGCATCTGCCTGAACTGCAGCTATTTCAAGGTGAAGGGAAAATGTATGAATGTAAGCAAGTTGAGAAGTCTACGAACAATGGTTCCTCAGTGTCACCACTTCAACAAATTCCTTCTAGTGTCCAAACCCACAGGTCTAAAAAATATCATGAACTTAACCATTTTTCATTACTCACACAAAGACGAAAAGCAAACAGTTGTGGAAAACCTTACAAGTGTAATGAATGTGGCAAGGCGTTCACTCAGAATTCAAACCTTACAAGTCATAGGAGAATTCATAGTGGAGAGAAGCCTTACAAATGCAGTGAGTGTGGCAAAACCTTTACTGTTCGTTCAAATCTAACTATTCATCAGGTCATCCATACTGGAGAGAAACCTTACAAATGTCATGAGTGTGGCAAGGTCTTCAGGCACAATTCATACCTTGCAACTCATCGGCGAATTCATACTGGAGAGAAACCTTACAAGTGTAATGAGTGTGGAAAAGCCTTTAGAGGACATTCAAACCTAACTACCCATCAGTTAATTCATACTGGAGAAAAACCATTCAAATGTAATGAATGTGGCAAGCTCTTCACTCAAAATTCACACCTTATAAGTCATTGGAGAATTCACACTGGAGAGAAACCTTACAAGTGCAATGAGTGCGGCAAAGCCTTCAGTGTTCGTTCAAGCCTAGCTATTCATCAGACAATCCACACTGGAGAAAAACCTTACAAATGTAATGAATGTGGCAAAGTCTTTAGGTACAATTCGTACCTCGGAAGGCATCGGAGGGTTCATACTGGTGAGAAACCTTACAAGTGTAATGAATGTGGCAAAGCCTTTAGTATGCATTCAAACCTAGCTACCCATCAGGTCATCCATACTGGAACAAAACCTTTCAAATGCAATGAATGCAGCAAGGTTTTCACTCAAAATTCACAACTTGCAAATCATCGAAGAATTCATACTGGCGAGAAACCTTACAAGTGTAATGAGTGTGGGAAAGCCTTCAGTGTTCGTTCAAGTCTGACTACCCATCAGGCAATCCACTCTGGAGAGAAACCTTACAAATGTATTGAATGTGGCAAGAGCTTCACTCAAAAATCACACCTTAGAAGTCATCGGGGAATTCATTCTGGAGAGAAACCTTACAAGTGTAATGAATGTGGGAAAGTCTTCGCTCAAACGTCACAACTTGCAAGGCACTGGAGAGTTCATACTGGAGAAAAACCTTACAAGTGTAATGACTGTGGCAGAGCCTTTAGTGATCGTTCAAGCCTAACTTTTCATCAGGCAATACATACTGGAGAGAAACCTTACAAATGTCATGAATGCGGCAAGGTTTTTAGGCACAATTCATACCTTGCAACTCATCGGCGAATTCATACGGGAGAGAAACCTTACAAGTGTAATGAGTGTGGCAAAGCCTTTAGTATGCATTCAAACCTAACTACCCATAAGGTCATCCACACTGGAGAGAAGCCTTACAAATGTAATGAATGTGGCAAGGTCTTCACTCAAAATTCACACCTTGCAAATCATCAAAGGACTCACACCGGAGAGAAACCTTACCGATGCAATGAGTGTGGGAAAGCCTTCAGTGTTCGTTCAAGCCTAACCACCCATCAGGCAATCCATACTGGGAAAAAACCTTACAAATGTAATGAATGTGGCAAGGTCTTTACTCAAAATGCGCACCTGGCAAATCACCGAAGAATTCATACTGGAGAGAAACCTTACAGGTGTACAGAGTGTGGGAAAGCCTTTAGGGTAAGGTCAAGTCTAACTACCCATATGGCAATCCACACTGGAGAAAAACGTTACAAATGTAATGAATGTGGCAAGGTCTTCAGGCAGAGTTCAAATCTTGCAAGTCATCACAGAATGCATACCGGAGAGAAACCTTACAAATGAGTGTGGTGAGGTCATTAGGTACAATTCACTCTTTTCACATCAGTTAATTCATTCTTGACAGAATCCTTACAAATGCAGTGACAGTGGCTAATCCCTCATGGGTTGAAGCATTAATAGATACGAGAGGCCGTAAGCAAGAGACATCATGTAAACATGTGGCAGAGGGTTTATCCAGGCCTCGCAGGTTACTAAGCATCAAAATTTATATCTTTGATGAAACCAAACAAATGTAATATGCATCCTTAGGCCATTACCCAGTGACTGACGGTAAGTGAGAATTCCTATGAGGAATAAGTCTCTGGTTTCCCTGTTTGCCTTTGATATTATACACTGTAGAATACTCACCAGTCCAAATATGCTAAAAATTATATTTTTTAACTCATATATGAAAAGATTGCAGGATATTTGTAGGCAGTCAGTTACCTTCACCTTATGAAATGTTTTATTGAGTTATTTAAGGTTTTTTGGAAAGCCTGCTGTTGAGTTTCAATGTGAACTTTGAAATCTGTTATTGTGCATCCTTACACACCTTCCATGGTGGTTTCTTGGAAAGATCATTGGGATGGAAGGATCATCGATTGGGTGAAGATCATTAATTAGGTGAAGGATTATTTCTATCCAATTTGTGAAGAAGGAGGACTTTGCTTTTAAAATCAAGTATTGTCGGAATTAGCATTTGGGAGTGGCAAAAAACAATGTAAAACCATGATGTCACTCACCATTCTTATAATGTTCAGGGTGCCTTTCTCCTACCAGGAGAGTACTGTGGCTTAGAAGAAAGAAATGGTCTATCAACTGAACATGAAATGGAGCAGGCCAAGACCCTAGGACATTGGGATTTTTGTGGGAGGAGAGTAATAGGTAATTAGACACTGATTGTGTGGTAGAAATACTGCAGGGGAAAAGGTCGCCCCCTTATCCATTAAAGAGCAATACCTGTTGTTTAGCAAAGAGTGATGAAAAATTGATCTTGTTTTTGAAATTGAAGAGAGAGGCCAGGCGCAGTGGCTCACACCTGTAATCCCAGCACTTTGGGAGGCTGAGGTAGGTGGATCACCTGAGGTCGGGAGTTTGAGACCAGCCTGACCAACATGGAGAAACCCCATCTCTACTAAAAATACAAAATTAGCTGGGCATGTTGGTAGGTGCCTGTAATCCCAGCTACTTGGGAGGCTGAGGCAGGAGAATCGCTTGAACCCGGGAGGCGGAGGTTGTGGTGAGCCAAGATCATGCCATTGCACTCCAGCCTGGGCAACAAGAACAAAACTCCATCTAAAAAAGAAAGAAATTGAAGAGAGAGTAGTCAGAGTGAAGAGTTTAATCAACAGAAGTAGAGTAACATATTCTTTAGTAGAACTCACATTATCTGCTTAAAGCACACTTTGCTAATGTTTTATTCAGAATGTATCATAGATATAATGTTTTAACTAATAAAATAGAATGGTTTTTCTCTATGAATGAATCACATTCTTTCTGCCAACATAGTTTTATCCTGTCTCAGTAGGATACTTCATAACATAATAACAATGCACCACTAGACTCTTAAAGGATCAAGAACAATTTTTTTCATGGTGAAATCAAATAACACAGTTTTGGAAACCTATAACCACATTTTGCGCTTGAATTATGTGCCCCACACTGTGGCTTAGGATACTTTTGGGGGTATAATGAAAATCTTACTGAAAGTTAATTTCACATTCTTACACCCCAAAACCTGCATTGCCATTGATGCATATGCACCATATTATTATATTTCCACATCAGTTTCTTGTATGCCAAGTAAGACCTATGCTATGCATCTTTTTTTCCATGAAGTGAAAATACATAGTAAGAATATGGGAAATAAAAGTTAGGCCAGGCACGGTGGCTCACGCCTGTAATCCTAGCACTTTGGGAGGCCAAGGCAAGCAGATCACCCGAGGTCAGGAGAAACCAGCCTGGCCAGCATAGTGAAACCCCTTCTCTACTAAAAATACAAAATTAGCTGGGCTTAGTGGCGCATGCCTGTAGTCCCAGCTATTTGGGAGGCTGAGGCAGGAGAATTGCTTGAACCTGGGAGGTGGAGGTTGCAGTGAGCTGAGATCATGCCATTACACTCCAGCGTGGGCACCAAGAGCGAATCTCGGTCTCAAAAAAAAAAAAAAATTTTTTTTTAAAGTTGGCCAGGCATGGTGGCTCACGCCTGTAATGCCAGCAGTTTGGGAGGCTGAGGCAGGTAGATTACTTCAGGTCAGGAGTTCAAGACCAAACTGGCCAACATGGTGAAACCCCATCTCTACTAAAAATACAAAAAAGTTAGCCAGATGTGGTGGCGCACGCCTGTAAATCCCAGCTACTTGGCAGGCTGAGGCAGGAGAATGGCTTGAACCCAGGAGGCAGGGGCTGCAGTGAGCTGAGATTGCGCCACCGCACTCCAACCTGGGCAACAAGAGCAAAACTGTCTCAAAAAAAAAAGTGGAGAATAAAAATAAAACCTCCTTCATGATGTTCTTGGAATATTGATATAATTTGAAAAGATTAATGTTCGTGAGTTTCCTCTTAAGAGTGAATATAGAAAATGAGAGTTTTGTTTTGGGAGATAAACTAGGAACATGTATGTTTGCTTATCACACACAGGCATGACTCTCCCATAACCTGTTGAGTATGTTTACTTAATATTCAACATACTGCTATTCAGCATAAATTCCTGCAGCAGCTTTCCTCCTCTGAACTACCTGTGTTGCTTCTGGTAGAGACCATGCTTCCCACCCTGCCAGATGGCTAGCCTGCAGGCTGTGACCCTTTGTAAGAAACAAAGGTCTCCTTGCTAAAATTAGACATTTTTTGACCTTTTTGGTCAATGCTGTTAAGGGTTTCTTGGTGGACACACTGCGGCATCCTGAAGCAATGTGGCACATCATTGTGAGAGTGCTGAGTATACTGTTTGCTCAGGTCTCTCTTCTTCCTATAAAACCATCACTTCTGTTCCCATGATAACACAGTCCATTAATCTGTGCATGGATTGATTCATTCATGACAGCAGAACTCTCATGATCCAGTGACCTCTTAAAGGCTCCACCTCTCAATATGGCCACACCGGGGACCAAGTTTCCAAATGAGTTTTGTTGGGGATATTCAAACCAGAGGAGTATTGTATTTTATTTTCAATTTCCATGTATTAATTGCTAGTATATAGAAATAAAGTAGTTTTTGTATGTTAATTTCATAGTCTATTTCCTTAAAATCTCGTTCTCCAGATTTTTTAGATTTCTTAGGGTTTTCTACATAAACTATTCTATTAATTTCCCATTGCTGCTGTAACAATTACCACAAAGTGAGTGGCTTAAAACAACACAGATTTAGGCTGGGCATGGTGGCTCACACCTGTAATCCCAGCACTGGGAGGCCGAGGCAGGTGGATCATGAGGTCAGGAGTTTGAGACCAGCCTGGCCAAGATGGGGAAACCCCATCTCTGCTAAAACTACAAAAATTAGCCGGACGCGGTGGCACATGCCTGTAATCCCAGCTACTCGGGAGGCTGAGGCAGGAGAATTGCCTGAGGTGGAGGTTGCAGTGAGCCGGGATCGTGCCACCACACTCTAGTCTGGGCGACAGAGCAAGACTCCGTCTCAAAAACAAAACAAAAAACCCCCACAAATTTATGCTGTTATTGTGTGGTGGTCAGAAGTCAAAACAGGTTTACAAAACTATGATCCTTCTTGAATCTCTAGGGAAGAGTTTATTTCTTTACCCCTGCTAGGTTCCAGAGGCCACTTAGATCCTTTACCTCATGGTCTACATCCCTCCGTTTTCACAGTCAGAAGGTAGTGTCATAAAATCTCCTTGTGTCTTTGCTATGCAAGCATTGCCAATTCTCTGTGATTCTAAGTCCACCTGTATTTTTCCTATATGGACTCTTGTGATGATGTTGCTTTAACCAGATAATCCTGGATATTCTGCCATCTCAAGGTCCTCAGCCAGATGACATCTGCAAACTCTGCTTTGAGAAACCATGTAATATAGGGTATAGGGCTATTGATACGGAAATCCTTTGTATGTGTATCTTTGGGGGTGGGGGTCATTAGCTTACCACAGCCATCACATCGTGTACACTATTATGCTTTCCTTTTTGGTCTCTTATTTTTCTTATTTCATTTATTATTTTCTAGATGGGGTCTTGCTTTGTTACCCAGGCTGGAGTGCGGTGGTGCAGTCAGAGCTTACTGCAGTCTTGAACACTTGGGCTTAAGGGATCCTCCTGCCTCAGCCTTCCAAAGTGATTAAATTACAGGCATGAGCCACCTCGCCCAGCCACCAGCCAATTTTCAGGGTTTTTTTTGTAGAGATGGGGTCTCCCCATCTTGCCCAGGCTGGTCTCAAATTCCTGGACTCAATCAGTCCACCTGCCTCAGCCTCCCAAAGTTCTGGGATTATAGACTGAGCCACTACCGTCAGCCAAGAATTGCCAACACTATGTGGAATAAAAGTGGTAACAGTGTACATCTTTGCCTTGTCCCCAACCTTAGGAAGGAATCTCACTTTTTGACCATGACGTATGATGTTTGCTCTAAGGTTTTGTAGGTACCCTATTGAGGAAGTTTTCCAACATACTGTTTTCCATAGTGGGTGTGCCATTATACATTCTCACCACCAAGCATAGGAGGATTACAACTCTCTTGCCTGTGATGTAGGTTCACTTCGCACTGGTTACCAAATGTCTGACTCCAGTGAGACAGAACCCATGCACACAAGTTCAATAAAGTGAGTTTACTACTGACAGGCAACAAGGGGCAGTAGAAGCCTAGGATTGATTCATTGCAAGCTGGTCCCCCAAGGCTCAGGAAAACTGCTTGGGGAAGATGGAGTCTTAATCTACTGGTGTCCCACCGGCACTGATGCTGACGGACCCCAGAGAGCACCCATCCTAGGTTTTATGGCACATGGCCTCGTGATGAGCCACCCTAAAGCACTGAAGGATATCCTGTTTTTTGAAAGAGGGGCAGGGGACTCTGGAATGGAGCCCAGGCTGCTTGGGCCAGTTTCTTCATTTCAGGGTATTACCTTCCCAATACATTCTGAAGTTGTTCTTGAGAACTACAAGCAAGGAAGGAGAGAAAAATAATTTAAGGTTGTTCCTTTAATGTATACATCCCACGGTACCTTACTTCTACAAAACCAAAAGACAGCTCAGGAAGCCTTATCAAATTTGCTGTCTCCACATCTCCTGTTGGAACTTTCAAGTGCCAATTAACAATATCAAGTTAATTAAGAAGAAAATGGATGGGGGAAAATAATGGAGATTCAAAGGACTTCTCTCATGAAGGTGGACATTTTTAAATGGTCATTAAGAAAAAAGGTGAATAAAGCAAGCATTCATGAGCTGGGTATGGTGACTCACACCTGTAATCCCAGCACTTTGGGAGGCCGAGGCGGGTGGACCCCTTAGGGTCAGGAGTTCGAGACCAGCTTGGCCTACACGGTGAAACCCTGTCTCTACTAAAAATACAAAACAATTAGCTGGGTGTGGTGGTGCACGCCTATAATCACAGCTACTCTGGAGGCTGAGGCAGGAGAATGGCTTGAACGTGGAAGGGAGAGGTTGCAGTGAGCTGAGATTGTGCCACTAAACTCCTCCAGCCTGGGCGACAGAGCGAGACTCCGTCTCATGGCTGTCCTCCCAGCAGAGTGGAAATCTTTAGATGGTAGTTAAGAAATGGGATGACCAGCCTGGGCAGTATGGCGAAACCGAGTCTTTACAAAAAATACAAAAATTAGTCAGGTGTGGTGGTGCACGTTTATGGTCGCAGCTAACTCGGGAGGCCAGGATGGGAGGATCACTGGAGCCCAGGAGGTCGAGGCTGCAGTGAGCAGTGATTGAACCACTGCAGTCCAGCCTGGGTGAGAGCGAGACCCTGTCTCAAAAAAAAAATGGGATGAGTGAAATGGAAATGGAAATTGATGGAGTTGAAACAAAGGTCTTAATACAACAGTTTCAAAGATTGGGTGGACCAAAGGAGCCCCTATTGTCCTGCAGCATTAAAGGGTTCCACACAAGTTTGCATGGCTCATGAGTCATGAAAACATGATAAGATGTGGTGGATGTGGCCTGCAGGGGCCATTACCAATGCATGCAGTTTGGCTAATAAGGCAAAATGTCTGTGTCTAGTCGTAGTCAAGAATGGCCTTCCACTGGCTGAAAGGCCATTCACTGGGTCAAAGAATGGCCATCCATTGGGCTGAAGCCCAGTAGACCCTGTGTGTTTATTGTTTTGCAGAGACATCAGTAAACCATGCCATATACTTGGTGGGCATATATGTGAACCTTGGGTCCCAGGTAGCCACAAGAGGAGACAAAGGATCCCTTAAGGATCGTTTGACCCCTTCTTGTAAGCTACCCATTTGTTCGTAGAGTACACTGGTCCCTTGAGGTTCTGCTGTGCCTTGTCTTGAATATGCCGTTCCATTTTATAGTTGAGCACTACTGAGCCTGTCCAATTTTATTGGTAAGGTTTGTGAGCAACCGAGTGAGAACGGGCAGTTCATGTTACAGGGTAACACAGAGCTCTGGCTGTAAGATGCACTGTTCCCACCAGTGTCCAACAGCAAGCGAGCAGTTACCATTGAAGAGGTATATATGTGGTGGGTATCTCAGGTAACTTACATGTCCAAAACCCAAGGAGGTTGGTTCAGGCGCTGTGTTTTCAGGCTTTAAGTAGCCAGGGGTGTGGCCCAGCAAAAACAGGGAAGGGGGTGATGGAGTGTCTCCTACGTAGCTTGCTCCCAGGAGGTAGGGAGCTGCAGTAGCTCGGTTGGGAAATGGTGGACAGGTGTGAGCCACTGCACCTGGTCTACGGGAGCTATTTTTTCTTCCTCTTTCTTTCTTTTTTTGTTGTTTTTTGTTTTTTGTTTTTTTTTGGTAGCGATGGGGTTTCATCATGTTGCCCAGGCTGGTCTTGAACTCCTGAGCTCAAGCAATCCATCTGCCTTGGCCTCCCAAATTGCCGGGATTACAAGCATGAGCCACCATACCCAGCCATACACAAGCTTTTTCTATGGAACAGTGCAGGGCCGGGTGCGGTGGCTCATGCCTGTAATCCCAGTGATTTGGGAGGCCAAGGCAAGTGGATCATTTGAGGCCAGGAGTTTGAGACCAACCTGACCAACATGATGAAACCCCGCCTCTACTAAGCTGGGTGTTGTGGCATATGCCTATAATCCCAGCTACTTGGGACGCTGAGGCAGGAGAACCACTTGAACCAGAGAGGTGGAGATTGCAGTGAGCCGAGATTGCACCACTGCACTCCAGCCTGGGCAACAGAGTGAAACTTTTTCTCAAAGAATAATAACAAAAATAAATAAATAAATAAATAAATAAATAAATAAAGGAATAGTGCAGCCATGTGAACTCTAGGTAGCTTAGGAGAATTTTAACAGAAGATGAAACATGGCTTTACCAGTACAACGCTGAAAAAAACACAATCAAAGCATGCCTGTCATCCCGTCTCCACTAAAAACACAAAAATTAGCTGGGCGTGATGGCACGCACCTGTAATCCCAGCTACTCCGGAGGATGAGGCAGGAGAATCGCTTGAACTTGGGAGGCAGAGGTTGCAGTGAACCGAAATCGCGCCATTGCATTCCAGGAGCCTGGGGGACAGAGCGAGACTTCATCTCAAAAAAAAAAAAAAAAAAAGGAAGTTTATCTCAGTTATTTGAGGTTTTGTCAAGTGTGGAACCGAATAACAAGTATAAGGAAGAACAAGGCAATTTATATGTATTTTTTAAAAGTTATTGCGTGTTTTAAAGCAGCAGTTTCCACGGTCCACAGCTCACGGTCCAGGTGTTGTCCTATAAAATTCGCTGGAAGCACAGACTTGGCTCTTCCACTGGGACAGGTGTGGAATAGAAATGGAAAGGAGGATCCTTTGGGCAATAGCATTACGTATCACATTCATTCCGGGCGGAGTTTTGCATTTCACAGTCTAGTTTGCATCCCCTTCACGGATAATTTCAGGCTTTTAAAGTAAGTTACTCGAATTAATTTGAATTGCAGGAACTTTCCTGGATCCAATCACTCACTGCTCCTCCTGGACTCCCCCCACCGAATTCTCAGTTTCCAGATCGCTGAGCTGCAGGAGACTCCCTAGCAGGATCGGGCCCAACCCGCCGGCAAAAATAGTTTTGAGATAAACCATTTTCGTCTTGGTAGGAAGAAAACAT